ACCTAATGAATGATAGGTGAGTGGTGAATCAATGAATGGGCATATGAATGAGTGTGTAGTGATTCAATGAATGGTCAGATCAATATGTGGGTGGAAAATCAATGAATGTATAGACGGATGAGTTAGCAGTGACTCAATGAATATATAGATGGATGAGTGAGTAGTGAATCAATGAATGTGCATATGGATAGGTGGGTGGTGAATCAATGATGTATAGATAGATGAATGAGCGATGAAGCAATGAATGGATAGGTAGATGGTGAATCAATGTATGTATAGATAAATGAATGAGCAGTGAATCAATGGATGTATAGATAAATGAATGAGCAGTGAATCAATGAATGTATAGATGGATGAGTGAGTAGTGAATTAATGAATGGATAGGTAGTGGTGAATCAGTTGATGTATAGATAGATAAGTGAGTAGTGAATCAATGAATGTATAGATGGATGAGTGAGTAGTGAATCAATGAATGTATAGATGGATGAGTGAGTAGTGAATCAATGAATGTACAGATGGATGAGTGAGTAGTGAATCAATGAATGTATAGATGAGTAGTGAATCAATGAATGTATAGATGGATAAGTGGGTTGTGAATCAATGATAGTATAGATGAAGGAATAATTGAGTATAGTGAAGTTCGAAAAGGATATAAAAATTCACCCTTGTGTTAATCCTTCCATCAAATTAAGAATTCGGCCATTCCAGAACCAGATCTTGATTGTTCTTGGTTAAATTTATTTCAGTTTATACATCATCTATTCTTGATCCTTACAAGTTAAATTCAAAAATTTTGTTTTGAAAAATGCTGTCCTGTGAAGGCATATTTTTTACATGGCTAGACTAAACTTTGTTCATGCATTTTTGTATTCATTTCAATTTCTGATTAAAAATGGCTGACTTAATTCAGTTTGGTTTTCTATTGCACATTTGGAACAGTATCATGTCAGATTAATTCATTTTATTTATATTCAAAGATTTATACCAGTACTTTTACTGTGCACCTCAACTTTGTACCGATATAGGTCTAAATGTAGCATGTAATCTAAATTATATGATAACAACAAATTCTATTTTAATAACAAATATCAAAATAGCACTAAAAATAAATTGTAGTATGATTTTACAGTTTTTATTAATTTCACTCTTGTCATAGAACAAAATTATTGATGAATTCGATACATTTACTATCAGAAGGTTTTGTGGAAATAGATTTGATACAGTCTTTTAGTTAGCTCAATTATTTCATTGCTAGGATTCTATCAACCATGCAGCCTGTATTCTCCTGTATAGGGATTATATTTCTAATCAAAGGCAGCATAAGGTCACATAATCAGGGTTTCAATAGGTGCATGACTTGTCAAATAAAAACAAATTTAATCTTCTCTTCAATTCTGTTTTGTGACAAATACAGTTTGGTATTTCAACAAAGTGGCTGCCTTTTGTGGATAAATCATTAATTGTTACAATTGTGTGTCTGAGTTAGGAGTGACTGCATGCTGACTATTTTAATATTTTGATGATGAGTGGATAGGTGCAATTATACCTCAGTATTAAAAACTGATGTATGTTTAAAGGAATACTGCGACACTCTCAAGCATATTCCAGTCTGTAATATGTCTAATCCGACAAGTCTAGTCCAGTACATGTACTAGTATTGGCAATCTTGTATATAATCTCTCTTTTTTTTTAATTTGATGTGAAGGACACACATTTGGTTGCCATCAGAAGTTTGGATCAAATCTGAGCCAATCAAGAGTGTCTGCTAACATCAAACTAAGAGAAAATATTGTGGGATTATATGTTTGTGGATATTATATTGAATAAAAATATAATACTTCCTGTGACTTGTATGAAAATTGTGCTTATGCTGCTTACAGTGTTGATTTGCTGCAATTCATCACATACTTTTAATCCTTTGAGCTCCAAAGCCAAATTTCTTCACCATTCTCAAAATAAAATGTAATATTTTTGACCGATTTTTTCCCCCCGCATTTTGATCAAGAAGTGTAGATAATACATGTAGCTAAACTATGACCATCTGGTCCAAAATTATCAAAGAAATTATAAAAAAAATACGTAAAATAGGCAAAATATTGCACCAAACTTTTTGGCAGGAAAAATTGTTGTACTCAAAAAGTTGAAGCTCAATAATTTTTTGTGAATGATTGAAAATAAACCTGACCATAGTGTTCAGACTATAGAGATATGAGGGATCTTGGATCAACATTTTTAGTAGTAAATTCATTTTTAGGACTTAGGATTAAGCATGTGTTATATGAAACTGAAAATATTCACTTATCAGTTCCGTTTGGACGCAATCCGAAAACGAAACTGTGGATTGACCTCTATGTGTGCGTTTGTGTGTCTGTGCGTGCATGCGTTCATACCTATATCTTAGACATGCCTGGACCGATTACATTCAAACTTCACACATACATCATACATAATATTATACATATACATATCAATTTGTTTCATAATCTGATTCAAGATGGCGGCCTTTTTTGTACTTAAATCAACCATTTCTGGCATTTCTCGGCTGTTTACAGATGGATTTTGTTCAAATTTTGTTTTAATCAATGCTATCCTAGTTCTCTGACGTGTTTTGACTGATTATGTTCAAATTTTATATATTCATTATATATCATAGATATACAGATGTATTCAAAATGTTCGACTGGTGCCATTTTGTTTTAGTTAATGCTGTTCCAAAGCAACATCACTCAGTAAGTACTCATTTGATGATCAGATAAAAAATCTTAAAAAATCATCATAATCAAGCATCATCTTCTGGATCCATATCACTGACCGCTCTCTCTCTCTTGATGTTCCAACTTATGTTACTATAAACAAAACTTCATGTATATATGTTAAATTTGATAACTAACAGGGACTGTGCCCTGGCATGGCTTGCTTAATACATGTATGTGATAATAACCTATCACATGACTACAATGGTGGTGTTTAGTTTACTGCAAATTATCACTAGCTGACATCATTTTATCTGTGTTCAAACAGTACATGTAAAATCAAACCATGTTATTGTACCATTTTGATTACAGTTATACGATGATTGGATAGCAATTCAATTACTTGTATGCAATCACATTCTTGTAACAATATCAACAGAATGTTTATTTCGCAACAAATTTTGGCAGAAGGGACAAATTTCTGTCAATTATCAATAACAGTTGGTGGTGGTAGTAGTAAATGTAAGTCTACTGACATGCTTCTAGACATCATGTAATATTAACATAAATCAGTATGATTTGTCTGTTTTTAGCTCCACTCATCATAGATGTCCATCGTCATCTGTAGTTGTTGCTATGACAACAACAATATAAACTGCCTTGGTTGCGTTATATGGCAAGTAAATTGTTGTATCAGAAATATTTCAGAACATTATCAACTTTTGAGCAAAGCACTGTAAAAAGACACATTGTTTGTTTGACACTGGTTTGATTAGACTCCAGTGGCTTCAGACACATCTAATAAACCAAACTTCTCAATGTTTCTTAATACCTGTAGACCTCTGTTGAGAATTTCATATCAGTGTGTACTCCCACTCGCTGACATTTTCCATTCATATTACTCTCTCTCTCAGTAAATATCAAAGGTACAAGGCGTGGGTATGAACTCATCCGTTAAAAACAATAGAAGCATTGTTCACACTAAACTTCTCACAGGCTGTTAAACTACTGTATTTGCTAGAAGTGTATCAACCTGAAGTTTAGTCCCGCTGTTGAGTTGGTGGAAAGAGTGAAGCTGTTCATATTACTGACTGCTTGGTGGTTTCTATTGTCTGCCGTTCATCAGCATCAACTTTACATTTTTACATCTTTAAAATTGTCAGCTGTATGGGTTTTATATGCACTTCAAGTGTACCTTAGGTGGTTCTCACTCAGATTTGTTAATTTTGTGGTCATATCTGCAATTTTCTAAAATTCATGACTAGTTTTGGTAAAAAGTGATATTAGATACCTCAGGTTGACTGCTCTCTGATTTGTTCATTTGGTGGTGATAATTTTACTTACCATATTTTTTTGTCATTTGTGCTTTGTGCATCTCAAAAATTGCAGATTTATGTTCACCAAACACGATTCTTGTCCTATATGCTATTTTTTAATTATGTTATTATAAATTTTCATACATCAAATCTATGACTTCATTTCACTCTGCACACAGGACTTCTTTATTAGACTGTGGTACAAATTGCTTGCGAAATGTGCATCACTAACAGCAGAGCTATATCATCTGCATATTTAAGTCATGATACATTTTTTTTTTATTTAATCTCAGTATACAAATACATGTATTTGATGTTATCCATCAGAAAAATGTTCTCTTCTGTTTGTTGGTACTCTAATTATTCCAAGATGATATGCATTAAATGTAATTGTGAGTGATGTTTAGTGGCATATTATCAAATCAGATAGAAGGCTACTTTCTCACTCTGTCTTAAATACTATGTGTGGCGTGTATGAATATTTAATCATGATTTAAAATCTTTTATTTTTCAATTTTTCTGGAGATGAATTCTAATTTAACAGACAAAATTTGAGTCAAATTTAAGTTTTTACTCAAAAAATATGGTTATTTTGTCCTCATCTCCAAAGGGAAAGTGCAGACAAAAACAAGCTTATTTTGTGAATTTGTAATGAAAAGAGGGAACTGGTGGTGAAAAGGTTAAATCTCAGAGTGTCTAGAAATTTAATCTTAGTGCGCCAACAAATTATACAACAGTATGGCTATATACTAATCAAATGTAATCTTTCTTTCTCAGGTAATGATTAAATGAATATAGCTGAATAGATGGAAACATATCACAAGAGAAGGTAACTGAGAGAAAAGAAATTGTAACATAATCATCAGTAGTTGAAATCTTCATCCGGTAACCAAGATGGCTGCTTTGTGGAAGAAGGTATCTGATATACTAGGAATTGCCACAACATTCAAGGCACCCCCATTGGATGGGGAGATCATTTACTGTAAAAATAATGTTTGTGTGCATCCGCCTACAAAACTCAGCAATAGCATTGAGCATTATCCAGGTTATCTTACAATCCGGGCTCAGGAAGAGCAAGACTGTGAGTCCACACTCATTGTCACATGGATACCTAATAACTCCCTGAAGAAGAATCGTAAAAAAGCAAGCAAGTTCTTTTCACCGCAGGGTTCACCCGTACGTACCAAATTTGCACATCGTCATCAAAACTCAATTGATGGAGTCAGTGTGAACTCCTTCACCTCTGTCAGCCAAGACAGCATCAGCATTGCAAGCTCGGAAGCAGAGAGAGTGATCACCTCTGAAATCATCAGAGAGAAACTCGAAAAAAAGTTTGAAGCTCAGCGCAATGAAAGTCAAGAGACTGAGAGAAAAAATACACTTGCCAGTGAGGAAGATGCTCGGATTTTGAAACAGAATCTGGAATTGAATAATGTAAAAAGACCTTCAAATGAAAAGTTGCCAGTCGGGCAAAACGTTAATATGCTAACAGGTAAAAATACAAACTCCAGTGGGAGAGACCATGGATCTGACAGTTCAAGTACATTAGAAGGTACTGACATGTTAGATGGAGGTTCAGGACAGAAACCTGTAAATACTGAATTACCAGTACCAGACACACTGCCAATCAGTGTTGACAATGTTTGTACTCCATCAGATAGTGATACAATGTCTCCAGGTTATAGTGTTGTACGGGAAGATGGGAAACTGTCAGTTGAACACCAGCCATTGCTGGGTGCAGAAAGTGATGATCCAGGAGCTAAAAGTGATGATGGACATGCTAGCCCATTCAAAGAAACTGCAAACATAGTTGGAGATGATGCTCATAATATGGTTGCTGTGGAAACCAATAGTGCCAATGAAAAGGAAGATGAGACATGTTCACAGCAAAATGGTCATGATCCTAGTTTAGATAATGAAGCTCCTAGTGAATTAGTGTGCAATGGTAATGGCGTAGTGAGAAGAAAAAAGACTAGGAATGGTAAGCGTAGATCTCCTCCAAAGAGTGATGTGAGTACATCTTCAGAGAGTGAATCCATGACTGTAGAAGATCAGTTATCTGAACTCTTACAGAAAGCTGGAATTGAGCATGGTGATGAGAAACCAATTAATGCTGAGGATACCCAGGAAGCAGAAAAACTTGAACGGCCAACTGAACTTAACGTTAACCAGAAAAGGAGAATAATTCACACTGCCTCTGGTGATTTTCCTGAAGAAAGCCCTAGCTCTGATTCAGCGAATGCAAGCCCATTCCCATCACCGTACAAGTCACTACTTTACGGCACTAATTCTGAAAAGACTGTGTTGCATGTTGACCCTTCATTGAATGTGAGTGGACATTCAGATGCTTCTAGTTCAACTACACCAACAACCTCAAACCGAGATCCGTTATCTCTGCCGAGTACACCCACAGAGTCGAGTACACCATCCACACCTTCGCCAAGTGAGCCACCTTCCCCTGCACTTCCTGGTGATCTACATAAATCCATCCTGCATGGCAATCCGGAATCATTTGCAATGACACATAACTTAACGTTTCCGGAAAACTCGGTGACATATTCGTCACCGAGTAAGAAGAAACCCAGTCCGCGTGACCAGCTTTTGGGTGTATTTTCGGTGGATTTAGGGGAAATGAGATCTCTGAGGTTGTTTTTCAGCGACGATGCATGCACATGTGGTCAGTTAGTTATCGCTAGCCGAGAAAGTCAATACAAAATTCTCCATTTTCATCATGGTGGGCTGGACAAGCTTGCTGAAGTCTTTGAAGACTGGAGAGTCTGTGTACAACAGAGAAATAAGGTATGCACAATTGACCAGTTATCTGTTTTTTTTAGTAATAGACATTGATTCAACTGTATAAAGAGAAAAATTGTGTGTTACGAAGCAACATTTCAATGAACAAGATTCATGTATAAATATGTTTTAAATTCAATATTTATGGTATTCTTAGCATAGTAGTGATATGAAGTGCTAAACTTGGAAACTAAGTGTACATGTATTAAAGGTGTATTTCCAATACATGTAAAAGTGTACATAAAACAAAAAATATATTTATTTTGTGTGTGACCATCGCATACGTTGACTTAAAGTGAATGAGCTACTGATAATGAAAATATGGTATTTATAAAAGGGTTATTCAAGCAATATACATCTCCTATGTATTATGCTTATGCTTTAAATTAGAGTATATTTTCTCATTTACTTGTGACCATGATTTGTGTTTATATCTCTATATGCACCTGATAAAGTTAATAGTATTGCAATATTATTTTGTAGACTAATTTGGAGAATGAAGCAAATCAGTTGTGTCGTAAGTTTTCAATATGCCGACCTCATTTGCCATCAATTGAATGTCACCCAGAAGAAGGTATGTTTGAGATGGTGTCTGATGATGTATGGTGGTCGTATGTCAGTGATCATGGTCGGATAGAAGATGACTTTGGTCTCAGAAAGGTATGTTGAATTTATATATAGAGAATTGATTAGTACTGAAGGACATGATCTCCATGTCATTAAACTTGACTTTTAGGCCACATATACTGTGAAGCAAAATATATAATATTATTATACATCTGTCATCATAATGGCATAAGTAACAGCGTGCCATAATTTTGCGATACTGCACTGAGTATTTTAATCCTACAATATTAGAAAATGCAAATTCCAAATATGGAGCGATTACGTGTGTGAACGTCCTCTAATAATAAAAACAAACATGGCTGCCCCCAGGGTTTGGCCGGACTCCACACAAAGATGTTTGCTAACTATTGAATTTTCTAATCTTGATTGCCAAGAGGTTTATTTACGTAATACGATGTTAACAAAAAATAACAGGTTTTGAGGGATTTTAAGATTTTGTTTGGGGCATGCGGAACACTGAATTTTATATTGCGAAAAAAACCGGGAAGCTTAGGAAACACATCAAAAACACATCAAGTTATTAGAAGTGTTGCACTGACCTTACTACATTCAAAGTTTTTGAAATTTCTTTGTAAATGTAAATGATTCTGTATTTTGATCAGTATCAGTATTTTACTTGAAGTGACTCAAAAAAAAAAAAAAATACCAAAAAAAAAAAAGAGGTTCGGTAAACTTTTTAGATTTTGGCATTGAGAATCGCCTGCGTCCACAGGTAGCCAAAATAATTGAAAAAATGGTGCTGCAGGCAATGTTTTGCTTTTATACACAGGGTTTGCTCTACCCAAGGTGCATTTTTTATAGTGTTAGCCTTATTCATGTCTTTCTGTACATAGACACTAATGGTCTATTTTTTCATTTTTTTATTTTTTCAGGCTATTTTCCTAGGAGGACTTGATGAATATTTAAGACGGGATGTATGGCCGTTCCTATTAGGATATTTTAAATATGATTCCACATTAGAAGATAGAAATGCCATGAGAGGGAAAAAACGAGAAGAATATTACGCCATACAGGATAAAAGGTACTATCAGTTTATTTTGACTGTGATTTATCAGACAAATTGACTCAGCAGTCTCTCCAGGGTTGCATTTGTTTTGCATGTGTAAAACGCAGTGACTGGTTGTGTTGATCTTTGACTGACATATGCACACTGGTTTCCAGGGTTGCATTTGTTTTGCATGTGTAAAACGCATTGACTGGTTGTGTTGATCTCTGACTGACATATGCACACTGGTTGGCAAAAATTTTATAGTGCAATGGTCTATCACACTATGGGATAAAGTTGACTAGCAGTTATCCTATCTTACTTGTCTCAACAGAACCAGAGAAATACTTCTATAAAAACATTATTAAAAAAAGGTGTGTGGTCATTATGCTACACAAATACATGTATTATAATGTAAAGATGTCTAATTCTTGTGATTTGATAATTTATGCCATTGTTGAAAACACAATTTTGTGAAAGTTGTCACTCTACATCATAAGACTCTCAGGAAATTTTCACTACTACAAAAGTGGTTAAAATTTGTCTCTTGTGAATTAATGTAGTTTACAGTAATTGTTGGTTTCCTGTCTATTAGTAGAACCTAGGAGTTGTCACTGAAGTTAAATGTCACTGAATGTAAAACTTTAAGTATATTCCACATTATTGTTTTACTCATGATGGTCACGATGGATGTGTAATTAAATGGATGCAATCCTTGGTGTCGTAAATTTGACACTAAAGTGTTCAATAGGTTTCCAATCACAAAGCAAGACTAGGTTGTCATGGAAACGTATATTCTTTGTCTATCTAGAGAGCTGATGTCAGGTGACGAGTATGAACAGTTCTGGAGAAATGTACAATGTACTGTAGAAAAAGATGTTGTACGCACTGATAGAAGTCATCCATACTTTAGAGGAGAAAATAATCCAAACTTAGATGTCATGAGGTGAGATTTAGACTGTAACATTCTGTTACTTGGGGCATCTGAGATTCTTTAACAAGGGGATTAGAAATAACAAAGTGTATGGTAACATCCCAGTAGTATACTAAGTGTATTAAATGTCCCTGAGGGTGTACGTGAGGAATTCTTTTAAGCTTTCTGTTGCTGCCCGGGAGTGAGATTCAGTACACAGCTGTAGAAGATTTCATTCTAGTTTCCATGGATAGTCTTCTTAATAAAAAACAAGTCGTGATGTTCTAGCTTAACAGTAACACTGTGAAAATAAAACTTACTTTACTTTGAAGTTTAATCACGATTCCTTCTGTTGTAAATAAGGGAAAGATTGGAAGGAACACTCATCATATATCATGCACTAATATTGAATGTGATACCTAGATATTAAATTCAACAAACTGCATGAATTTAATACTACAATAACCGTTTAATAAAAGTTTCTTACCCTGCAGCTGAATAAAGCTAAAATCTGCTTTACAGATGTAGACGTTGTCACAACTGCATGGTTATTAACACAACATCATTTCATTCTATTATATATTGTATGCCACTTGCAACACCAATATATGCTTTTACTGATTCAACATTTTATTTCTGATTGCAAATTAAAATTAAAACCCATGAATTTCTGTTAATACCAAAAATGTCAAACAATTATATACTGTATTTTCTTGATTTGCATACCCCTATAGAACATATTCTGTTATTGTAAATGTTTCACAATTTATTCTTAACACGTAAATAACAAAATTCAATAATTCTTCATTTACATATTAATGTACAGCTATAAAGAAAATACATTAAGCATAGATTGTTTGGTGTTGCATAGCATACTTACAATGATACTAACACCCTTGTATGCCCTGCATTGTATGTCATCCACTCTACAGGAATATTCTACTAAATTACGCTATTTACAATCCGGGCATGGGTTATAGCCAAGGTATGTCCGATCTACTAGCCCCTGTATTAGCAGAGATACAAGACGAGTCAGACTCATTCTGGTGTTTTGTTGGTCTAATGCAGAACACCATCTTTGTCAGTTCACCAACTGACGACGATATGGAAAATCAGCTGGTGAGTTTGTACTGCGTGATACGCTATAAGTGGTAAAGCTGGGTTTTACAGGTTTAGTTTTCAGCAATTGTCACAATAATTTTGTTTTTCCATTTCTGGTTTTTACACAATGTATGAATTCGCAGATCTTGCATAATAGAATATCACTAGTTTCTCCCTTCTACATGTATGTGAGTATGTGTGTGTATTCCCTCATCTAGTTTGATATATACATAGACATGTTTTTTATTGGCCAACAAGTCCAGTGTAAGTAGATAAGGCATTTCCTGCTCTCAACGCATGTACATTGCTTCCATTTTATTTTCTATATTGGTGGCTGTTTTTAGTCCTTATTTAGTACATATATTATACATTACGTCCTTCTGTCTGTCTAGAGTCATATATCAGAACCCTCAGAACAGAATCTGTTCATTATTTGCATGTGCCTAATACTTTTAATTTTTGATAATGTGGTATCTTGGGCATGCTTGGTCAGTTTTTTGGTAAAATTTGGTGCATACATTATACATGTTACCATACATGTCCATGACATTTTGTTTTACAATCAGATCAAAGATGGTCAACTAGTGGCCATCTTGTTTTTTGACCATACATACACTATATGTATTAATTAGATCAAAGATGGTAGCTTATTTTTGCATACATTATACATATTCATGATGGTTCATTTGATGATCAGATCCAATAATTTTTTCAAAAAACCTTGGACCAAAAACACATTGGTTGGTTTCTAGGGCAACGATTTGTATGGATACACATGCAATGAACAATATATCAACTTATTGGTTGGTTTCTAGGGGCATGACTTGTAAACGTACACTCGTAATGAAAAATGCATGGATGAAAACAGCTGCAGTAATATTTTAATAACTTCTTTTTTTCCAGGCGTATTTACGAGCATTGATTGAATTGATGTATCCAGAGTTCTGGGCCCATCTAATGGAACTAGGAGATGCTATGGAACTTCTATTCTGCCACAGGTGAGGTGTTTTTTCACTTATTGTGGTGTGACTTGTATAGGGGATTATATGCACTCTCTGGTGGTAAAATAAAATGCTTACTTGCTGATTTCCACTATTCCCTGCATATGGAAAGCTTATATACAAATCAACACAAATCACATTCTGTGAACTGAAAACCATTCAAAATTATTTTATTTGAATTTATATGATATGATTATACATGATTAGCAAAATATTGTTACAAAATGTCAATACAGGTGAATTGACAATGAAATTAAATAGAGGTTGTCATATGGTACAGTTTGTAAGCTGACAGTTGACAGCTAACAGTATAAAAAAACATACAATGCCAGACAGGT